TCTGTCTCTGTCTCTCTTCCATCTCTCTCTCTCTTTCTCTCCTTTTCTGTCTCTCATTTTCTGTCTCTTATTTTTTTTCTCTCATTTTTTTTTCTCTCTCTTATTTTCTCTCTCTCTCTCTCTCTCTCTCTGTCTTTCTGTCTCTCTCTTTCTCTCTCTCTGTCTCTGTCTCTCTCTCTCTCTCTGTCTCCCGTTTCTCTCTCTCTCTCTCTCTCTCTTTCTCTCTCTTTTTCTGTCTCTCTCTCTCTCTTTTTCTGTCTCTCGTTTTCTGTGTCTTAATTTTTCTCTCTCTTATTCTCTCTCAGTATCTTTTTCTCTCTCTCTGTCTTTCTGTCTTTTTCTGTCTCTCACTCTTTCTCTCTCTTTTTCTTTTCTCTTTCTCTTTTTCTTTTTCTCTCTCTCTTTCTTTTTCTTTTTCTCTCTCTTTTTCTCTCTTTTACTGTCTCTTTCTCTGTCTTTTTCTCTCTCTGTCTTTCTGTCTTTCTCTCTCTCTCTCTTTCTCCTCTTTCTCTTTTTTCTTTCTCTTTTTCTCTCTCTCTTTCTCCTTTTCTCTTTCTGTTTCTCCTTTTCTCTTTCTCTCTTTTTCTTTTTCTCTCTCTTTTCTGTCTCTTTCTCTCTCTCTTATTCTATCACTGTCTTTTTCTCTCTCTGTCTTTCTCTCTCTTTCTCTCTTTCTCTCTCTCTCTCTTTCTCTTTTTCTCTCTCTCTCCTTTTATTTTCTATCTTTTTCTCGCTTTCTCTCTCATTTTCTGTCTGTATTTTTTCTCTCTCTCTTTCTCTCGCTCTCTTTCTTTTTCTCTCTCTCCTTTTTTTTCTCTTTCTCATTTTCTCTCTTTCTGTCTCTCCTTTTTTCTCTTTCACTCTCTTTTTTTCTCTCTTTTTCTCTCCCCTTTTTTTCTGTTTCTCTCTTTTTTTCTCTTTCACTCTCTTTTTCTCTCTCTCTTGTCTTATTCTCTCTCTTTTTCTTTTTCTCTCTCTGTCTGTCTTTCTGTCTTTCTCTCTGTCTGTCTGTCTTTCTCTTTTTTCTCTCTCTCTCTCTTTCTCTCTCTCTCTCTCTCTTCTGTCTCTCTATCTCTGTCTCTTCTGTCTCTCTCGCTCTCTCTTCTGTCTCTCTCTCTCTCTCTTCTGTCTCTCCCTCTTCCGTTTCTATCTCTCTCTTCCGTCTCTCGCTCTTTCTGTCTCTCTTTCTTTCTTTCTCTCTCTTTTTCTGTCTCTCGTTTTCTCTCTCTCTCTCTTATTCTCTCTCTGTATCTTTTTTTCTCTCTCTCTCTCTCTGTCTTTCTGTCTCTCTCTCTTCCGTTTCTCTCCCGTCTCTCTCTCTCTCTCTCTTTCTCTTTTTCTCTCTTTCTCTTTTTCTCTCTTTCTCTTATTCTCTCTGTCTTATTTTCTCTCTCTGTCTTTCTGTCTTTCTCTCTCTCTCTTTTTCTCTCTTTCGCTCTCTCTTTTTCTTTCTCTTTTTCTTTTCTTTTTTTCTCTCTCTTTCTCTCTTTTCTGTCTCTCTTTCTCTCTTTTTCTCTCACTGTGTCTTTTTCTCTCTTTCTCTGTCTTTCTCTCTCTCTTTCTTTTTTTTTTCTCTCTCTCCTTTTATTTTCTATCTTTTTCTCTCTCTGTCTCTCTCTCTCTCTCTCTCTCTCTCTCTCTCTCTCTCTCTCTCTCTCTCTCTCTCTCTCTCTCTCTCTCTCCCGTCTCTCTCTCTTCCGTCTCTCTCTCTCTCTCTCTCTTCATTCTGTCTCTCTCTCTCTCTCTCTCTTCAGTCTCTCTCTCTCTTTTCAGTTTCTCTCTTTTTCTCTCTTTTCTCTCTCTCTTTCTTTCTCTCTCTCTCTCACTATCACTGTCTCTTTCTCTGTCTGTCTCTCTCTCCATCTCTGTTTGTCTGTCTCTGTTTTTCTCTCTTTCTTTCTCTCTCTCTGTCTCTCTTCTGTTTCTCTCTCTCTCTCTTCCGTCTCTCTCTCTCTCTTCCGTCTCTCTCTCTCTCTCCTCTGTCTCTTTCTCTGTCTTTCTCTCTTCCATTTCTCTCTCTCTCTGTCTCTCTTCCTTCTCTCTGTCTTTCTTTCTTTTTCTTTTTCTGTCTCTTGTTTTCTCTCTTACTTTTTTTTCTCTCTCTGTATCTTTTTCTCTCTGTCTTTCTGTCTGTCTGTCTCTCTCTGTCTTTCTGTCTCTCTCTATCTCTCTGTCTTTCTCTCTCTCTGTCTCTTTTTCTGTCTCTCTCGTTTTCTCTCTCTCTCTGTATCCTTTAGTCTCTCTGTCTTTTTCTCTCTCTTATTCACTCTGTCTTTTTCTCTCTCTCTTTTTTTCCTTCTCTTTTTCTCTTTCTCTCATTTTCTTTTTCTCTCTTTCTCTCTTTCTTTCTCTTTTTCTCTCTTTTCTGTCTCTTATTCTCTCACTGTGTCTTTTTCTCTCTGTCTTTCTCTCTCTCTTTCTCTCTGACAGAGAGAGAGACAGAAAGACAGAAATGTCTCTCTCTAGAGAGAAAGGCAGAAATGTCTTTCTCTCTCTTTTTTTCTCTGTTTCTCTTTTTTTCTCTCCCTTTATTTTCTATCTTTCTCTCTTTCTCATTTTCTCTCTCTCTCTCTGTCTCTCCTTTCTCCTCGCTCTCTCTCTTATTCTCTCTCTGTATCTTTCTTTCTCTCTCTCTCACTATCACTGTCTCTCTTTCTCTGTCACTGTCTCTCTTTCTCTGTCTGTCTCTCTTTCTCTGTCTGTCTGTCTGTCTTTCTTCCGTCTCTCTCTCTCTGTCTCTCCTGTCTCTCTCTCTTCCGTTTCTCTCTCTCTCTCTCTCTCTCTTCTGTCTCTCTCTTCTGTCTCTTTCTCTGTCTCTCTCTTCCGTTTCTCTCTCTTTTTCTGTCTCTCGTTTTCTCTCTTATTTTTGTTCCTCTCTCTCTCTTATTTTCTCTCTGTATCTTTTTTTCTCTCTCTCTCTGTCTTTCTGTCTGTCTCTCTCTCTCTCGCTCTCTTTCTGTCTCTCTCTCTCTCTGTCTCTTTTTCTCATTCTCGTTTTCTCTTATTTTTTTTTCTCTCTGTATCTTTTTCTCTCTCTCTGTCTTTCTCTCTTTCTCATTTTCTCTTTCTCTTTTTCTGTCTCTTTCTCTCTCTTATTCTCTGTCTTTTTTTTTCTCTCTCTGTCTTTCTCTCTCTCTCTCTGCCTTTCTCTCTCTCTTTCTCTTTTTTCTCTCTCTTTCTCTTTTTTTCTTTTTTCTCTTTCTCTTTCTCTCTTTTTCTTTTTCTTTTTCTCTCTTTCTTTTTCTCTCTTTTGTCTCTTTCTCTCTCTCTCTCTCTTATTCTCTCACTGTGTCTTTTTTTTCTCTATCTTTCTGTCTTTCTCTCTCTCTCTCTCTCTCTATCTTTCTCTCTCTCTCTCTGTCTTTCTGCCTCTCTCTCTCTCTGTCTTTCTGTCTCTCTCTCTCTCTCTTTTTCTCTTTCTTTCTCTTTTTTTCTCTCTCTTTCTTTTTTTTCTTTCTTTTTCTCTCTTTTTCTTTTTCTCTTTCTCTTTTTCTCTCTTTTCTGTCTGTTTCTCTCTCTTATTCTCTCACTGTGGCTTTTTTCTCTCTCTATTTCTCTCTCTTTCTGTCTTTCTCTCTCTCTGTCTGTCTTTCTCTCTCTCTCTTTCTTTTTTTTTCTCTTTCTCTTTTTTTCTCTCTCTCTCCTTTTATTTTCTATCTTTTTCTCTCTTTCTCTTTCTCTCCTTTCTTCTCTCTCTCTCTCTTATTCTCTCTCTGTATCTTTTTCTCTCTCTGTCTTTCTCTCTCTCTCTGTCTGTCTTTCTGTCTCTCTCTCTCTCTCTCTCTCTCTCTCTCTCTCTCTCTCTCTCTCTCTCTCTCTCTCTCTCTCTCTCTCTCTCTCTCTCTCTCCCTCTCCCTCTCCCTCTCCCTCTCACTCCTATCTCTCTCTCTCCCTCTCTTTTACTGTCTCGTTTTCTCCAACCTTTTTTCTCTCTCTCTCTCTTATTCTCTCTCTCTATCTTTTTCTCTCTCTGTCTTTCTATCTCTCTCTCTCTCTCTCTCTCTTTCTCTTTTTTTCTCTCTCTCTTTTTCTGTCTCTTTCTCTCATTATCTCTCTCTCTCTGTGTCTTTTTTTTTTCTCTCTCTGTCTTTCTCTCTTTCTCTTTTTTTTTTTCTTTCTCTTTCTCTCTTCTTTGTCTCTTTTTCTTTTTCTCTCTTTTTCTCTTTTCTGTCTCTTTCTCTCTCTTATTCACTGTCTTTTTCTCTCTCTTTCTCTGTCTTTCTCTCCCTCTCTGTCTTTCTCTCCCTCTCTGTCTTTCTCTCTCTCTCTGTCTTTCTCTCTCTCTCTCTTTCTCTTTTTTTTCTCTCTCTTTTTTCTCTCTCTCTCCTTTTATTTTCCATCTTTTTCTCTCTCTCTCTCTTTCTCTTTTTTTTCTCTCTCTTTTTTCTCTCTCCTTTTATTTTCCATCTTTTTCTCTCTTTCTCTCTCATTTTCTTTCTCTTTCTCTTTCTCTTTCCCATTTCTCTCTCTCTCTCTGTCTCTCTCCCATCTCTCTCTCTCTCTTCCGTCTCTCTCTCCCTCTCTCTCTCTCTTCAGTGTCTCTCTCTCTCTTCAGTGTCTCTTTCTCTCTTCAGTCTCTCTCTCTCTTCAGTCTCTCTCTCTCTTTCTTCAGTCTCTCTCTCTCTCTCTTCAGTCTCTCTCTCTCTCTTCAGTCTCTCTCTCTCCTCTCTCTCTCTCTTTCTTGCTCGTTTTCTCTCTCTTTCTCTCTCTCTCTTCCATTTCTCTTTCTTTCTCTCTCTCTCTTCCATTTCTCTCTCTCTCTCTTTTTCTCTTTTTTTTCTCTCTCTCACTATCACTGTCTCTCTCTCTCTGTCTGTCTGTCTCTCTCTCTGTCTATCTCTCTGTTTGTCTGTCTTTCTTTCTGTCTCTCTTTCTCTTTCTCTATCTCTTTCTTTTTCTCCTTTCTCTTTCTCCTCTCTCCTACTCCTGATCTTTTTCTCTATTTCTCTCTTTGCTCTTTTTGTCTTTCTTTCTTTTCAAACTGTCTTACTGTCATGACACTGTAATCACTGTAAATGTTTATATTTTTCCATTTTCTGTTACAGCCAGTTCAACTGAATGGTCGAATTTTACCAGCCCCAAATTTGAAAATGAAAGATACTGAAATGAAAGATACTATTGTACAACCTATAAAAGGGGTTTGGGAAGCTTGGAACAAGGTGTTCTTCCAAGGAGCTACTATAAAAACCTGGGCTGTTGTAAACTATGATTTTTATACAGGAGAGGATGTAGTGAAGTAGGTTCCTTATGCTTATTATTTACAAGTTATGTTACAGTATTACTCAAGGCACATATAACCAGGTAGCTCAACTTCCATAAATCCTATTGAACCCAAAAATCAAATTAACTTTTTCCCAGGAGTATTCTCACAGCTGTTAATGATAAGGAACTCTTAGTTACCATAAATAAAAAAGGGAATTTTGATTTTACTTTTGTTCAGTATAACAATATCTAGTAAATTATACAAATAATTATGTATCTAGCTATATCTGATATCTCACGGCAAACTCTCATTGGCTTAACCCATTCGCCACACGTGGCAAGAATAGATGCCATACCCACTTTGATACACGTTTATTTAT